CGAGCTCACCCAGGGAACAGGAGGCCCCCAAACACCCACGCCTGCTGCTGTGCCCCAGAACCCCAGGCTCACCCTGCACTCGCGGCAGCAGCTGCCGTGGGCACACTCGGCCCCCTCGGCCAGCAGGCAGGTACTGGCGTTGCAGCAGCGGTTCTGACAGTCCTGGGGGCGGGGGCAATGGCGAAGGTCTGAGCGGGCTGCAGGCTGGGCCGGCCCCAGGCCCTTCCCTCGGGTGGTCTGGTCACTCCCCCCACGAGCCCTGCCAGTCGTTTCGGTGCCAGAGGACAGGAGGTGTCGCTGTGCGTGCGCAGGGCGCCCGGGGGTCAGGAACGGACCAGCCCCCCACGTGAGCAGCGGGCAGAAAGCAGAGGGTGGCGGCGGGGCCCGGCCTTGTACCTGGGGGGCGCCGCAGTCGCACTGCTCCCCACGCTCCAGGAACCGGTTCCCACACACAGGGCCGCCCACCAGCCGGTCGGGGTCCGGGGCGTCCACCAGGCAGGCTGTCTGGGGCTTCTCCACGAACGTCTCCAGGTCAGCCCGGCTGCAGTGGCTGAACTTTCTGGGGAAGTTGGAGCTGCGGGGAGGGGACTCCCTGTCATCAGAACGGTGGGTGGGTGGGGGCCGGCCACCCGCGCCCTGGGACACCCCTGCTGGGCGGGAGGCCCTCGGGCGGGCTGGCTGGGGCCAAGCCTCACCCAATGCTGGCCGCCATCACGCAGCCGCCGCTGTCCTGCAGCACCGGGCAGTAGCAGTCCTGGATGTTCTCGTCGTGGTCCATGCCCAGGTTGTGGCCCATCTCGTGGGCCATGGTGCTCGCCACGCCGATGGGGTTCGGGCTGTGGTCCTACAGGAGGGGCCATGCTGGCTGGGGTCACTCTGGTGGTCAGTCCCCCGCCCGCCCCCGGCAGACTGAGGGGCTCGGCGGTGCCTCCTGCCAACATCACTTCTTCAAACCTAAAGCGTCAGTGCATCCTTCGGAAGAGGCAGCTGCTCAGGTGTCCAGGGGACAGCGTAGGGACCAGCAGGTGGACCTGAGTCCTGAGGTCCCCCCTCGCAGGCCCCAGCTCAAGCTCCGATCCCCACTCCCTTACCTCCCACCCCCAGTGGCCAGCTCCAGCCTCTGTCCAGCAAACCCAGCTGGATCCCCCGTACCTGGTTCACAGCCCCCGAATCCTGGGAGCACATGGTGGACACCCTGGCCAGTCCCACGGTGGTCCCTGCAAAGTTGACCCCGCTGGGAAAGAGAGCAGTGTCTGCACGTGGACACCTCGGGACCCACCTCCCCTGGGGGCCTCCTCGTCCTGGCGACAGCGTGGCCCTCCGCCCACTCACGTGATGAACTGCGCGTTGTCGTGCAGGTGCCGCCCCGCCAGGTCTTGCACCCGCCAGGACAGGAAGTTGTTCAGTGTGGTGTCGGCCTGGGTGCTGACATCAATCTTGTCCCCACCGTTCCACATCTCCAGGCCCACGAGCACCACGCGGAAATCGAGCTCCTGATAAAGCTGCCAGAGGGCAGGGAGCCCCAAGGGTCAGGTTCCAACAGTGAGGCCAGCCAAAGGCCAGAGGTCCCGCGAGCGTCCGCTACGGTGGACAGGTCATGAAGGCTGGGGCAGAGTCCTAGCCCGCGCATGACCTGGTGGACGGCTCTCCTGGCAGCCGGGCAGCCCCCATGGCCAGCCCTCTCTTCCTCCCCAGGTGCCCCAACAGGGCTCTACAGCCAGCGTTTCTGTTGGGCTGGGTGGGTGCTGCCACGTGGTCCCAGCAGCCCCTGCTGAGAGGAAGCCCCCGGGGTGAAGCGGCCCCCACCTTGTCCACGTGGTTGACCACCTCCAGCACCCGCTGGCGCACAGCCTCTCTGCTCCCCAACCGCTGGAACTGGAGGACAGCAGACCCTCAGCTGCAGCCTGTCGGCCTGGCTGCACCCACCCACCCCCGTCCCCGCCCC